TCTGCATGAGCCTGTATCTGCCTCAGCAAACGAATCATCTGTAGTGGTGCACTGTATAAAAACATGCCAACTATTTGAAAAAGATGAGACTTGAAAGAAATTAATTTGTTCAACAGGTTAATATACAATAAATATTTCTACCATGTTGGGTCAGTGTGTTGCAACAACTTGAGGAGGGCGTCATAATTCATGCTGTTTCAAAGTGTCATAATACTGAAAATAATAAAATTATCTCAACAGAATTGACAAAGCTGGTATGCATATACTGCTTATTAAGATTTTAAATGTCTTTTATATGTTTCATTTGGGGAGAACTGATAGAGACAAGAACTAAGTCCAGAAAGGGATTAAAAAAGTTTTTTAAAAATAAGAATTGTTCTTTTCTTGCAATATTTATTAGACAATTTCAAGTAACAATTTTTGCAGTCCAAGTCAAAAGTGCTAATCTAAATTAATGACTTTCATGACTCTCAATTTATATGCATCACTAATTAAGGAAAGTAAATGGTTCATTAAAGTTCTTTAGATGCATATCATATATTCTCTAGAATCTCTACGCTATAGGTTGCATCATATAAATATGTTACTTAAGACTGCAAGAAAGAAACATAGGAAGCTGTCAGAGAATCGGGCTGCAGATGTTTGTGCACTCATGAGACAGGGCTAAAGCATATTTACTTTTCAAGCTGTGGCAGCAGAAGAAGACTAACTTTGCATGATGAAAATAGTAATCATATCTCAAGCATCAGAAGTGGGGTTGGCTTTGCTCCATTTCTGTTTTTATACTTCTTAATTAAACACTGGAGTGAAGGAAATTCTGAAGCTCAAAACAAATATTAAGTCCTATTTCAGAGCCTCACTAACAGGCATGGCTGGCCTTCATAGGTATAGAGCTACCTTACAGCAGGGAGCCCTCTGCTGGTGCAAAATTATTAATGTATCATTAAAGTTCTTCAGATGCATATTGTCTATTCTCAAGAATCTCTATGGTATAGGTCGCATCATTCAATTATGGGAAGAAAATAGTATTTTAATAGATTCTTTAATTTTCAGTTAGCATGTCAGAATAGTTTCACGATGGAGAAAGACAAAGCAGACAGACCAAGAGACAGAGACAAAGAGACAGACAGACATACACAAACCCATACTCACATGAAGAGAGAAACAGAGAGAGAGAGAGAGAGAGAGAGAGAGAGAGAGAGAGAGAGAGAGAGAGAGAGGGAGGGAGGGAGAGAGAGAGAGAGGACAAGAACAGAAGAACACAGGGATAATTTAAAATGACTTTAATGATGAAAATAATTCATGTACAACAACATTTTTTGAAGAAACTCACATGAATTTGTTTTCTAATATTAATGTTAATTTTTTTCAGTTTGATTTGGATTATTTTATTTTAGAAATATAGCTATCTTCAAGTTACAAATTTCTAAGCCTCTAAATATAAATATGGTTCCCAGACAGGCGGTGTGCCCAGAGGCTTTGTGTACGAGATAGGACTTTTATTCACCTTCACCCTTGCTAATTTCCCAGTTCTATTTTCTCTGACGAACACTAATGCATGTTGACAGATCATGAAACTCTTAGTAATATCATAAATTGATCTTGAATGATTCCATGTAATTTATGCTGGCTCTTGACTGGAAGGAGTTTAATTGTCCCTATTTCTCTCCCTCAGGAGAATAGCACTAAAAATAGGGCTTGTCTGTTACTCATTTTTGATGGAGAGATGCACTCTGCCTTTGCAATAATTATGGAGTCACTCAGTCCTGCTTATCTACCTAAAGAACCAAAATGGCCATGTGTCTATTGTGTTTATAGGGCAGAACTCTATGACCAAAAGTTACTGGAACCTCTAAATTATAGCAGAAACAAGTACTCTGAAACCATGTTGCAGAAATCTGAGGAAGATTAAATCATTTACCCAATATTGCCATGGAACACAGTAGGTGCTTGTTTATTTTTCAAATTCTCTGAATTCTAACAGCAAAGATTATGACATTTCTTCATTTTCTGTTACAAGGCATTCAGAGAAAAACTCAAGAATTACAGGCTCAGAAGCTCGAGAGCAGAGCATCTCATCACTCTCCAATTTGATGTTCCCACTTCAAAAAAGATTGAAAGAGAATTCTGAGTGTAATAGTTGAAAAGGTTTATGTGTCCTGGGCTTATAAACCTTGTTCAATTGATGTCCTAATTAGCTTTCTATTTCTGTGATAAAGACCATAACCTAAAGTAACTTGTGGACAAAAGATTTATTTCATCTTACACTTCAGGGAACAGTCTATCACTGAGGGGAGGCAAGGTTGGAGCTGAAGCAAAAATCTGGGACAATGATGTTTACTGGCTTGCTCTCCATGGCCTATTCAGCCTTCTATCTTATGCAATAGAGCATGGGGTGTCAATTGGTAGCACTACCCACAGTGAGCTGGGCCCTTCTATATCAATTATCAATCAAGAAAATGCCACAGACTACACTACAGGTAATTTGACAGAGACATTTTCTTAATTTTGGCTCTTTGATCCAGGTGACCCTGGCGTGTATTATATTGACACAAAAATATAACCAGGACAATTGGTAATGAACTACTATGTATAAGCTTGTTATAGCCCTACCCGCCACCCCCAAAAATTCATCCTTGTTCTTAGTCTGCCTATTTCACTAGAATTTTCCATTCATTTCCCTGTCATTAGTTAACTTATAACCATATTTGTTGAACTTCAACTAATCTTCACAAAGCCATGCTATTTTGAATATGTGATTCTGTAACTGCATTCAGAGGTTCAACTAGCCAATAAACTGAAGGAGCCCTCCTAATATTTGGGATTCCTAGCTTTTATTACTATTCATCAGTTTCCAAAATCTCCATCTATTTGAACATATAATTTAACTGTTCAATGAGGGGACTACAATGAAAGTACTGAGAGGCAATCCTTAACATACAGTAAATATTTTGGTCTAAAGTTTATGCAATCTAATAATGAAAGCAGCAGTAACCAGACTCCATTCCTTTTCTCTTTTCTACTACTCCTCACTTGCTGAAAACACCCATGCAAGCTGGAAAACACAGTGCACCTTAGCTTCCAAAGTCTTAAACTATTGTTCATGCCAGGATTCTCAGCAACTCTATGCGAGCAAAGGCTTCATTTAAGCTTGTCTCTGAGGAAAGAGACTGACAGCAATGTATTCATGATCAGAATACCTATTTCCAAATTTCATTCTACCCTCCCTTCTTGTCAGTAGCATAGCAATGTAGTCTCTTTTCTCACAAAAGACAAAATCAAAAAGCTTACTCCCGAAGTAAAGCGGTTTTCCATTGTAGTAGTAACTAAGCACTCTCTAATTGGGTTTAAGCTCTGCTCCGTGAGATGAAATCCATGCCTGACACTCCTCAGGTGATTGAGAAGCTGAACCCAAACAGAAATGGCCTAGGAATAAAAACAAATACTACTGTTCCGCTGACGGAATATTTAAGTGAAATGACTCCTATCAACAGTCTGCTATAACCATAGATCCGTGATGCATTTATCCATCTTCAGAGAGGCTTCTTCCTATAGCACATAGAGACCTACATCTGGATAATGTCCAGATAGTAAGTGACTTTGGAGAATGAGATATCTTCACTGAAACTCTCTTGTCAGTGCTCAGGAAGCTCTGTTAAAGAGGAGTCAGAAAGATTGTAAGAGCCACAGGTAATGAATGATTCCAAAGAAACAGTCTTCCAGACACAGTTATGAGTGACACATATATGAACTGGCAGAAACGGTAGGGGCCTGAATAGGACAGGCTTAAGACAGATGGGGTTGTAGTACTGTCCGGTGAAAGTAAACATGTTCTTTCAGTCCTAACGTAGAAGGTAATTCTAATTGTCATCTGCTTGCAATGGAAAAAATAATGCTCTGCAATAGAGTCTCACTGAGCAGGTTAACCATGTTCGACAGTATATGACCAATACAAAATGAACTCATTGATATTGTGGTAGACTTTTTGTCTCATACTGCTTATTTGTACACTTTTTTGTGTTACTGATATTTTGGTTATATATAAGATTTCTGATTTTGTTTTTACATTTGTATGCATATGTGATTTTAAAAATTATTCTGCTTTGTTTCATTTTTTGTTCATTTTCTTAAATGAGGGAGAAAGAATGCATAGAATGGACCAGCAGAGAGGTAGAAAGGATCTCCAGAGGTTGGAAGATGGAAAAAGGAAGATAAAAATATATTATATAAAAAATAGCTTCAATTAAAAGCAAAAAAATTAAATAATTAAAATAAAATCTTTTAAAATAAAAATATAAACAACATGGTTCTGATTTGTATATTTGGTATTTTGAAATTTCACTCCTGTTTTGCTATTTAGAATACCCTTTCCAACAAATGCTACCATCCAGAATCCATTGTTTAATTATAGATAATTATAATGTGGTTTTAAACACCTTATTCGGATATAATTTGGCATCTTACTATCAATAAGTACAAAGTTCCGATCAGCATATGTTTTTATTACTTATAACTGCAAAAAAATCAGGGCTAATATTTTACACAATAATTATCTGTGTTCTCCTCCCCCCTACAAACCCC